TACAATATTGGAATAGAAGCAATCCACAGGGTCTCATCCTCTGTGAAAACAAAAGAAGACCCTCTCCAAAGCATCATATCCTTAGACCCAAATTTGGAAGTCATGATACCTTTAGAATATACACGTTGGATCAGTTTAGCAGCCCGCACAACAAATTGTCTCTCTGTATTTACTTCCTTCACAGTCAAAAATTCAACCAAAATACAATATATAGAATCCAAACTCTCCGTGAATTTTCCATTTTTAGGTGGCTTATTTTTCTTTATTTCTTTTAATCTATAACTACCTGTACTCTGTCTCTTTAAAGACCTTACCCCTTTTAAACTCATTTTCTTTATTCTCTATATTCTTTTTCTTCTATCTCCCAAGCCTACGTATGTCTAACACTATGACCCATTTAGAGGTCTTTTATGTCTGAATCTGTCCTATTGCATTGTCTATAATTTTTTACTGTCCAGAAACATTTTTGTTTTGCGCTTTTAAATCGCTGAGAGCTTAAGAATCTAAGCTGTGACATTCCTAGGTCAAAAACAGGTATTGCGGGCATGCCCTGCCCAGTCCAACATGGAGGAGCCACTTGTGCATCTGAGGCCTGCACATTTCATTGCTAGCATGGAGGAGCTGCTTGTGCCTCTGGGTCACGGCAGGCAATGTCCCCCTTTTAGGCACACAGCGAGTTTATTTGCCATCAAACAAACCATAGCGCTTTACTCCAAATGCTCCATTAAAAAGCTTTGTCTCCTGCAGGAGCCAGACAGATTGCAATGGCAGCACAGCCCAGAAACTGAAACTATCACTTTTTAGTAGACCTGATCTCACTGCCTACCCAGGCAGGAAGAGCTGAGCCACTGATATGGTCTCAGCTATTTTGTTCCCGACCCCAAGTGGGCCCAGAAATGCTCCATTGCCAGAGTTTGAACTGACAGCAAGGCCCAGGAAGCCTTCTTTTAAAATGGTGCGGCTTTTATTCTGCTGCTATTGCTGAATCGGGAAAATTTCTCGGAAGCACCCCACCACCAAACAGCAAAAAGCTGTGTTAAACTCTCTCTCTCTCTCTCTCCTTTTTAATCTCTCTCAGATTTTACATGGAATTAGTAGACCATGTTGGGCAGCCAATTGTAGTGATGAGGCGAGCGGGCAGCACCCTGCCGCCCAGCTAGCTTTATCCAAAATAATTACACGGAAACTGTATTCATTTAAAACACTGCCTGGCCCATTAGTTCCAGCATCTTATTGGCTAATTCTCACATCTTGATTAACCCATTTCTAATAATCTGTGTAGTAACACAAGGTATTGGTTTACGGGGAAGATTCTAACCTACGTCCATCTCAGGCTGGAGTTTCATGGCGCCTGCCTGACTCTGCTTCCTCCCAGCATTCTGTTCTGTCTACTCCGCCTATCTAAACTGCTGTCCTATCAAAATGCCAAGGCAGTCTCTTTATTTAACCAATGAAGGCGGGTGGTGGTGCACGCCATTAATCCCAGAACTCGGGAGGCAGAGGCAGGCTCTCTGTGAGTTCGAGGCCAGCCTGGTCTAGAAGAGCTAGTTCCAGGACAGGAACCAAAAAGCTACAGAGAAGCCCTGTCTCAAAAATCAAAAACAAAACAAAACAAAAAAAGAAAACAATGAAAGGAACATATAGACAGAAGAACCGCCTACATAAATTTCACTTTTATTATTTTTTTTTTTTGGATTTTTGAGACAAACTCTCTACATAACCCTGGCTGTACTGGAACTTACTACATAGACCAGGCTGGCCTCAAACTCCACCGAGTTCTGGGATTAAAGACAAATGTCAACATGCCAAAACATGCCCAAAGCACTTTAAAAACGAACAATATTCATTATATACCAAATTGTTCAGCCCTTTTCAACCCTACACTAGAAAAGTTTCCCAAATCATTTTGCTTTCCTATGTAGTAGCCCACTCCAAGCCTAAAGGCAATTTATTTCCTTGCTGTATTTACCAATTCACAGAAGAGGATCAGAAAGCAAATCACACACACACACACAAACACAACCAGAGTTTATTATGCATTTGGTTCTGAAATCTGGTATTATGCAGGTCTTCTTATCTAAATGACAGTTCTTTTTTGAGGTATATGTGTATGTGTGTGTACATGTGTGTATGGTGTACTGCATGTGTGTGTGTGCAGGGTCCCATGCCAGTGGAGATGCAGTGGCCAGAGGACATTGGCTGTTCCTCTGTATCACTCTGCCTTGAGAGCAGGTTGCTCACTGAACCCAGAGCTAGGGCTGGCAGCCAGCAAGCCTTAGCAATCTTTGTTTCCATCACTCAGATAGTGATAGCGGTTACAGACAAATGCAGCAATGCCCAGCTTTTCCCAAAAGCATTGGAGACTTGAACTCAGATCCTCCCACTTGTGTAGAAAGTGTTCTTACTCACCGAGCCATCTCCCCAGTCTCTAAAAACAGAGCTTTCTAGGCAGGGCTGGCTGTGTTCAGGCTCTGCAGAACCATGAGTTTTCTAAGTTGGGATAAAGACGACACCACTTTACCATAGAGAAATGCCATCTGGAACTGTTCCAGGTTCTAAAAGCCCTCAGGTCAAGCAAGAGGGCAACAAGACCCTGCAGAAGCAGCAGCCAGTTCTGGAGTAAGAACCAAGCAAACGGAAAGCGACCCACCTGCCACCTCCATTTTTAAATAGCACGTAGGAAGGAGAAAAACAAAGTGGAACAAAAATAGAGGTATGATCACAGTGCCAAGGAATGGAATGCCTTTCCTAGAGATGAGTTTTATTGCTAACGTGGCACTCACATCTATTAATGTTACTCCATCTAGTACTTTTTAATCTCCTACTGCTTTGATATCTAAGTATTTAAACAAACATTACTTTTTCTTCCTACAGAAACCCATTTCTGCACGCTGTCTTCTGACGTTCTCACATGTGCACAATTTGCACAAAAATTAAAAATTTAAAATGTAATTTTCAATCTACGATATACAATAACTTCCTTTTCGTTCTCCCACAAGAGACTTAATTTTCATTTCATATTTTTTAAAATTAATTTATACGTATCAGAGCCTGCATGTATGTATATGAACCTTGTATGTGCCTGGTGTCTGTTGAGGTCTGGAGAGGGTATCAGATACCTTAGAACTGGATTGAATTTTGATCCTCTGCAAGAGCAACAAGTGCTTTTAACCTCAGACCGATCTCTCAGCCCTCCATTTCACACTTTCAAATCACAAAAATGTCAATGCTGTTAAAATTCACTACTCTTTGGCAACCAACCTAAGCACTTTTACCCTTACACTGTATTTGGGAGAGAGGTAACTATCTATTCTAAACCATCATTCAAGAAAACCCAGCCAGGGTTTGGGTATATAGCTCGGTTGATAGCTTTCCGATAGAGTATTTGCAAGGTTTAGTTCAATCTCTAGCAACACCGAAAAAGAAAATGAGGGAAAAGAGAATACCGAACAATTCCCACATCTTTGAGTAACACATTAGCGTGGGATTTATTTAATCTCTTAAAATTTTGCTTCTCTTTTTGGGGGAGTATTAAAAAGAACACATTTGTCTTCCCCATGTTTGCTCTGACTGCTACTGAGAATGTTTGGAGAAACAGGAGTCGATTTCGGGAGTTGTTTATACACTCACTGCATGGGTTTCTGTGGGCTGAAGTCATCACTTGGAGGCCTTAGTGGAAAGAGCTGGTTCTTCCACTAGCTGTGTGACCTTGAGCTAGACGCCTCAACCTCAAAGTGGGAAACTACATTTGGACTAATAAATAGCAACACGTTATTTCAATTGAACAAACTGAAAGCTTGTATTGATATTAAGAAATATGAGAAGATAGTCTTGTTGGTGTTCTGTTTACAGGAAATCTGGCAGTAAAGAGCACAGGTTTTGCCCTCAGAGGAACTGTTTCTCGAAGTCAAGCCATTGTTGGTTAATTGTGCAACCCTCAGCAACCTACCTATTCCCGCTGCCTTTCGCTTCTGTCTACTTGGACAATCAATCCCTCTCTTCCTTATTGTAGGGATGACAGGAGGGAACTGAATAAGCATTCCTTTAACATGCACAGCACATTCTGCTTGGTGGAAGACTAGTTAACATTTTCTTCTTCCGCTATATATGCGCCACAAATTGTGTCAGCCTCGGGATTAGCAAAGATAACCGTGACTCAGGAAGCAGTACCATGGTTGGAAAATGCTTCATTTTCTACCCGTCTATACTCTTGTAACCAATCAGAAGAAGCTGCATGTTTTTGTTACTATAAAGGAATCCGCAAGTCTGAGAACGAGCAAGTAACTAATAAACCAGAGCTGGGTTCGGGAGCCAAGTAGCAGAAGACACTTTTCAAATTTAGCCGTTCTCAACTGGGATAGGCCTGATTGGCTATACACGAGATGATGACAAGCGAACGATCAGAGGTGGGGTGATGGCAACCCCACACAACAGAGAGCTCATATGAGGCAGGACAAACGCTGAGCGCTCACACTAATGAAAACAACCGAGACTGGGTCCCAACTCTGTCACCTCTCCACCGGGATTCCAGGTAACTTATCTCGACCTCAGGTCGCGGTAAAGTAGAAGTGTTTCTGCTTTACACATCTCCTAGGATAGAGGTGATCCAGTGACATCACATGACAATGTTATCTAGAGCAGGCAAACGTCGTGACACGCAATGATTTCTGGCACCTATTAGCCGACAAGTCCCATGGCAGGAAGTAAACAGCATCTGGTGAATATCTGTGCTCCTGATGGTGAAAGCAGCCTGTGGGCGCTAGGCAGGCTCTGCTGAAGGCATTTGGGCGAAGCTGAGGCTCGAGGGGCCGGGAGCCAGAGACGCAGCAGCAGCTGGCTGCCACCTCAGACGGATCCCTCAGACCCCTCAGGTGAGGAGCCAGGGGCCGGCAGGGGAGGACAGGGGCCGCCAATGCCCTCCCTAGGACCAGGACCCGGCTGCGCTCATGCTGCCCGGCACGTACACAGCAGAAGACGGGAGCGCACCGGCTGCTACTTACGGGCCGCTGCAGACGTACACTTGAAGGGGAGTCCGCCGAGGCGCCTGGCACCGCAGCTCTCCGCGCTCTAGGGACCGGACTTTCGCCTCAGCTCAGAAAGCCAAGAGCAGATCTTCCCAGGTACCCAGCAGCGGGCTCGCTGCCAGCCCGGCAGGCAAGGAGGACGAGCACGGGGCGGGGCTCCCTCAGGACACGCCCCGAGCGGGCGGTTCTGGCCTCTTCCCGCCTCTTCCGGCTTGCATCACCACGATCAACGCCGCCGACCGCCTCAGGCTCCCGCGAGGCACCAGCCGCACATTAACCCCCGCACCGCCGGTCCACTCCCGGCCCTTCGGCGCGCACGCGCAGTTGCGGCGGTGTTTGACAGCTCGGGCCGAGAAGAAGCAGTTGTCGCGAGAGTTGGCGCGCCGCCTGGTGCGGGCTGTCATTATGGCGAGCCTGGGAAGCGAGACCGAGCGGGAGCCTCTCCTGGGCCCCGGCTCTCCCGGAAGCAGGTGAGCAGGTGGGGTGGGACAGGCTCGGTCCTGTGTGTACACTGACCTGAACCCGAACCCGGCCGCGCATGCGTGGACCGGGCCACCGCACCGGAGCCGCTCCGGACAGGCTCCCGGGTAATCGCGTTTACTTTGGAACAGTGCGGAGCTTTGGACTTGGGGAACTAGGGTACCCAGAGAGCCGGGGAAGGGGCTGCTCACTTAGGGGTTGGAGGTCACAGCAGCTTCGCATTGGCTTCAGGCTCCTGTCAGAGTCCCGTTACGAGAGTTCCTGCTTGAGAGCTACTTCGTTTTCTTCTCAAGTTTCGATTTTTCCTGTTTGTGTGTGTACATTATATATACAAATAATATTATTTATAAAACAAACATAAGCTGCCTCTTTTACAGCAGACCCTGCATTCTGTAGACCCGCTATAGCTGACCACTGTCCACAGTTTGCAAAAGTCACAATTTGACGTTATGACTGACAGGTTTGCTTCTTTTACTTTACTGCACAAACTTCAATTTAGCTAACGAACAGCCCTTCCTACCCAACAAGATCAGTCAATTATGACTTACTAATCTAATTGGCTTAGGTCCTTCTTTTTCAGTATCTAGTGCTTCCAACTGACCTACTTTATGAGTTTCAAGAGGGCAGGGGTTGGCACACTTTCTGTAAGTGGCTCCATTAATAAATAAATTGGGTTTGCTCAGGCCTAAAGACAAAGTCAAGGATAGTGTGGATAGTTGGTCAACAAGAGAAAATCCACAAATCATAATAAATGAGGTAGATTGGTCTGTTGATGAAAGGATTTAGACTTGGGAGTTAGTGTTCTGTCGTCAAACTGGTAACATATTCACCTGCAAATCTTAGTATGCGCTCTCCAGCTACCGACAGGTGTTCTGATTAGGCAAGCACGGTAGCAGGCAAGTGCTATGTGCTTGTCTTGCGGTGCACTCCTTTATAGGACGTTTTTATTTGTTCCGTCTCTCCAGTTCTGTACATCACCAGCCTCTCAGGAAGCAAATCCTGCTTTCTCTGCAGCCCTGAGTCTGGGTTTGCTACTCTTGAGTAGATGAGTCCAGAGCTGTCCTTTTGCTAGTACAGTGCTGCTGGGCCCCACCCCCAGCATCTGTGCTGAATATACACTGTCCAAAATGTAGCTCTTTTTCCTATTCCTGTTCAGTGTTTCCCAAGTGTTTGGTTCACACCAGTGTATTGTGTACTCTTCCTGGATTTTAAGTCACACGTTTTTATGGGGAGCTGTGGCTCTGGAAATGTTAGACACTGCTGTTTTATTTGGGATAGAATTCCAGTTGGAAAGTTAATGCAAGAATGTAGCACTGATAGTAGACAGAAAGGAAAAGTTCAACGGATCCCCCTGGAAGTAAGTACAGCTTTTCTTTCTTTTGCTTGTTTCTTTGTTTAGAGAGGATCTCATTGTGTAGCCCTGGCAGGCCTAGAACTTGCTGTGTAGACCAGGCTGGCCTCAAAATCAGAAGCCTTCCTGCCTCTGTTTCCTGAGTGCTAGGATTAAAGGTGTGTGCCACCATACCCAGCTATAGTATTTCTTCTTACACCCTGGTAAAGCAGAAGTCTGTAAAAAGTAGTCTCAGCCATGTTTGTGTTATCAAAATTAAAAAGATATAAGAAATGTAGAAGCTGGGTGGTGGTGGCGCAGACCTTTAATCCCACACTTAGGAAGAAGAGGCAGGCGGATATCTGCGAACTCGAGGCCAGCCTGGTCTATACAGCGAGTTCCAGGACTGTCTCCATAGCTGCTGAGAAACCCTGTCCCCCAAAACAAACAAACAAACAAACACACAAACACAAAAAGAAAGAAATAAATGGAAAAGTTGAGGTAACAGCATAGTGAATGCCCAATACCTTTTCATTTAGTCTTTTCCACACCAATCAACTGTCTTTTTATACACACTTTTTGCCAACCTGAAGTAAGTTTCAGACATAATAGTGCTTATTCCAAGCACATTTTCAAAGCCTGCCCCTTACACAACTCCATCACTGTTGTACAACTAGAAACACCAGTTCAAGAGTATTATACAATCTATACTCTGTATTCCTTATTTCTGCAGTTGTCCCAATAATATAGCAAACATACACAGTCACAATCTATGTACACAAGACAATCACTGTTCATATGCTGGTTCTAGTCTGTTTTAAACTCTTTAACTTAGAACTGTCCCATCACTCAGGAGGCAGAGGCAGGTGCATCTTTGCAAGTCTGAGGCCAGCCTTGCCTCAGACTACATAGGGAATTCTAGGACAGCCAGGACCATATAGAGACTGTATCAAAACAAAACAAAATGAACTGTCCCTGGACATATCTCTGCTCATGTCACAGTTGACTCCTAGTTTAGGTCAGTGTTCCTGAGTCTCTCACAATTTGGATTCATGAACTGTTTCTTTCTTGATCACAAGACTGTCATATAAGCAATATTGAGAAATGCTAGTATATTCCATCAGAAGTGCAGGCTGCCAGGCCCCCATGATGGGGAATGCCAGCCTCCATCATTTGTTACAGGGTGAACACTGCAGCTTTCATTAGAAATGTTCATTTCTTTTTCTGCGATTAGAGTTTAGACAGTGGGGGTTACTGTCCTCAAATAGCCCTTCAACCACAACTTGAGCATTTTTGTTTCATCCACTATATAGAAGGTAGTCATTAAATCCTAACTTTAAATTTTCTCATCCCTTCAATTTCTAAGAGATAACATTTTAAGAAGACAGCTAGGGGCTGGAGAGATTGTTTAGCAGTTATGAGCACTTGTTATTCTTGCAGAAGTTCCAGGTTTGGTTCCTAGCATCCATATGGCAGCTCATAACCATCTGTAACTCTGTTCCAGGGGATCTGTCTCCCTCGTTCCACCACCAAGGGCACTGCATATATTTGGTGCAGTGTACCGACGTGCATGCAAGCCGCATCCATGCATAAAATCAAAAGCAAATTTAATAAGTGAAAAACATGTATTAAAAAATTTGAGGGAGAGTCTTGCTATATATCCCAGGGTGATGTTGACCTTGACATCTTTTCCAGGTCTTTCCCTTTTTTTCCCCCAGATTCTTGGAGCCCAGGCTGGCCTTTAAGTTATTATGTAGTCCAACATTACCTTGAACTCCTGATCCTCCTGCCTAGTTCTGAATGGTTGAGGCTTAAAGCACCACCACATGTTTTGCCTCAGTTTGTTGACTGCTGGGATTACAGGCTTGGCAAGGAAATGTGTTTGTGTTTTTTTTTTTTTTTTGAGACACATTTCCACTCTATAGCACAGGCTGCCCTACATTCACTACATAGCCAAGGTTGGCCTTGATCATGTAACTGCCTTCTGACTAGGAAAGTTCTTTTTTTTCTCTCTTTTTAACTGGAGTTACTTAAACAGTTTTATTGTCTTTCTTCACAAAAGTAATTTACTTCTCGGTTCCTCAGGTGAGAAAGAGCTTAGGGAAATAGTTATTTGAAAGTGTAGATTGTCCTGATACTTCTTATAAAGTGATAAAGTGTTTAATTTATAATCTCCAGAGAATAATAATTGGTCACTAAAAGTATAACACTAACCATGTATTAAATTGATATGAGAGACCATACTCTGGATTCAATAATGCATGCTTTTCCCAGTGTGAAGTTAACCTCAATGGTATACATTTAATTCAGATATGTTGATTTTTTTTTTTTTTGAGACAGGGTTTCTCTGTGTAACAGTCCTAGCTGACCTGGAACTAGCTCTTGTAGACCAGGCTGGCCTCGAACTCATAGAGATCCCCCTGCCTTTGCTTCCTGAATGATGGGGTTAAAGGCGTGTGCCACCACTACCCAGCTGATATGTTGAGTTTTTAATACAGTCATCTTGAGTTCTGCTATTTTTCAGGTGTTTCACATCACAATTGAAAGGTCTCTGTGTAGGTCAGAATATTATGTTTGTAGTTTTTCAGCACTTTAAATGTTTGAGTAGTGGGGCCTGGAGAGATGGCTCAGTGGGTGTGGGAGCTTGCTTCTGAGCCTGATGACCTTAACTTTGAAAGAGAGAACGACTCCCAGTTTATCCTCTCTGAGCTCGACATGCATGTCACAGCACTAAAACCCATACACATGACACAATAAATAAGATAATGAGTAAATGTAAAAACGTGAAATACATGTATATCAATATTGAATATCCTTGGCAAATAGTAGATCTAAAACTTGTTTCTCTTCTTCCTGTTCTCATTTCTAAACACAGCAGATTTTAAAAAAGAAAGCTCTTCAGTGGTGATAAATTTGACAGTACCAAGGTCTATTTTATAAAATGCTTTGGACCACAGATACTGTGGTACAGAACTTTACTGAACAGGAGGACTTAGACTCTGGGTCCACAGCAGCAACAGCAACAAATCAACCAAGCCCTTTCTCCAAAAGAAATCCTCTTGGAGAATAAGTAGGCATTCTGTCTTTAAGATGTCTTGATTTTTGGAAAGAGTAGTGCTCATACAAGGTAAGTTTGCCAACGCTGGAACCTTTGTGATCACAGAATTGTAGGGATATGTCCCGCCCCTTAGGGGACATGTTCACCTCGGGCTAATGTTTGCCTATAAATTTGGCGAGCGTGCTCCCCACAGCTGCTTCTGCTTTCCTGGTCTCCGCAGGAACGGTGGTTCTGTAAGTCTATTTCTACAGCAAAGCTATATATATATATATAT